TTTATTGTTGCAGTCATCGCATGAAGAGACAGTTACGGAATCTCGAGAGGGTAGAAGTAATGGGCAAGTTCAATGGTGCTACGGGCAACTATAACGCCCATATTATCGCCTATCCCAATGTGGACTGGTTCGAGATCTCGAGAATTCTGGTAGGGCGGTGGTTGATAACACTTATCGTAGTCATCATGATTTAGGTGGAAGATCATCTTGGTCTCAACTGGCAGCCTGTATCGACCCAGATCGAGAGCCACGATTACGTCTCGGAGATGTGTGATACTGTTGCGAGGATGAACACGATTATCATCGACTTATGCCGTGATTTCTGGATGTGAGCACTCGGGTCAGGGTTAGCATTACGTGGATCAAGAGGCTCTTCATTATTCGGTGAACTCGAGCCCTATAGCTCCCTTTAGAAAAGGTCGTCTCCTCCCTCTTCCTTGATCTGTGGGGTATTGAGTGTGATGAATGCGTTCCTATTAGGTACATCATGCGAGGAGTTTTGGGTCTCCGTACCATTGCTGGCGAGGTGGGGTCCTCCACCATGCCTCACAAGGTAAGTTTGAAGTATCACGACTCGTGACTCACGAGCCGTGCGCACTACACAAGATTTCAGGTCAACCCGATAGACTTCGAAAATGCTGAGGGTAACTGTGGTGTGGCGATCTCGATGTTGCATCATTTCTCAACTAAGCTGCCTATCTCCCGAATGCAGAGGGATCTGACAGACAGTACTCTAGATACTGTTGGTTCACCCTTGCTATCAGCGTTACTGTAGGTACGGTACAGCGGGCAGTCGGGTCCGCTTTTGCCCATACTATTATAGCCATTGATTCCACTATCAAGGGCCTCAGCAAGGTACACGAGTATTATAGGTTCCCAGGTTCGTATAGGGAATGCTCAGGTCATGGTGTCCGCTCCTATTGCCAACCGTGAGCTCGAGGATCATTGGGCGGTGACTGGGGAAGCCGTGCAAACCGTCATGAGACGATACGGGCTGGAGAGACCGTAAGAAACGAATCAATGCCTCACCGTGATTCGGGATCTGTTCTATCAGTTACGAACGTCTGAAGGAGTTCACTCGTGGTCGTGAATTGATGCCACTTCTATGAAGGAGTTCACAGAGAA